GACCGCGGTTCAATCCCCCAGCACCACATGCCAGCCAGCCCGCCCCCTGCTGGGCTGAGCCGGCCACACACATACACACACACACACACACACACACACACACACACACACATAAAATTAAAAAAAAAAAAACGTGGACATATAGCATGTGCTACAGTGTAGACAAGCATCTTATGTTCAGAATTTCTAATCAAATAAGAATAGTTTAACAAATATCTAGTGGGCTCAGTTTAAATTCTTAAGTGAATGACATCACTTAATCTGAATAATTCCCCAACATTGAGACATGTTATTTGATTTTATACAGTGAAAGCTGAGTCCTGCCAAACTTTGATGATTTGCCCAGGAATACACACCCAGTGCACAGTGGATGTGTGAGCTCAGTGTGTTAGCTGTAGGAGCCTGATCTGATAATGACTAGGCAATACCCCTGATGAAAGGCAAAGAGAGACAAGAGACTATACGACAAGGCTTCTACAACAGCATGATAATCCTCAGCAACTCATTTTTCAGGGCTTACACTAGCCAGGATCCTGGAGCTTTAATACAGCAATAGTTATTCAGACAAATGTCCTGCCAGTGCCTAACAATGCAAGACAGAGAGAGAGACAGACAGAGAGAGAGAGAGAGAGAGAGAGAGAGAGAGAGAGAGAGAGAGAAACATAGAGACAGACAGAGAGACAGACAGACAGACAGACAGACAGGCAGGCAGGCAGGCAGGCAGGCAGCTTGAGATTCAAATGTCCCAAGACACTATGACTTTACAAGGCAATTTATAACTAGGACATGAGACCCAAACGATCAGACACTGGATCCTGTCACTGTGTCTCCACTGAATCAAGCTCACAATGCAGCAGATGCGAAACAAATGAACAGATGATCTGAGACAGCGCACTCATCATAATTACCTGCTGAAAAGCTAAAAGGTTAAAAAAATTCCATTGAAGGACACTGGAAAACAGACTGTGCAACAGATTGTACATGATGCTAAGCAATTGACTGCTTTTGTTTTTAATGATTTGAGCTTTAAAGGGACAATGTGTAAGGAATTAGATAAGTGAGCTTACAATTTGTCTTGATTTTTAGTGACATCAATAAGTAACAGGTTAGGAAAGCAGGATCTGAAGGACTAACTAATCAAGAGAGGGGAAGGAGAAGAGCTAGGAAACATGACAGTGACAAGCCATGCAGTTATATGTAAAAGATGAGCAAGGCAATGATCCTGAGAATATTCAGAAGATTTTTTAATCTAGCAGTTAATTGGAAAGGTTCTCACCCTGACTAACTATATATACTGATACCTGTGAACTGAGCTACTGCACTGCAGATGGTAATTTGTAATAGGAGTTTCACGTTTGGAGTGCCTGTCGTTCTGGTATTCTTAATATGGGCTGCTTGTCATGACATGTCAGTTACTGCTATGATGTCTCTCGGGTAGGTGGATGTTCAAGAAGAAGGGGGTGGTGAATAAAAGCAAGAGACAGGAAAAGGAATATTGTGGGACTGTCCTGCTTCAAGGTTGTGTATGGTGAGATTTTTGGACTTATGTGCAAACATGAGAAGTATAGAATTCTTTATCCTATTTTTAAAATATAATCTAATTTTTAAATTTTTTTATCATATTATGTAGGGACTTAAAGTTCAACATATCAATACCTGATGAAAAATACCTGTTCCTTATTATGCCTAAGATGTTTGAAATGCAGAGAGATAGTGAGGCTAAGTTTAATAGCCTAAATCATTTGATAAAAACAATAAGCTTGTCTTCTGGATGGTTAACAACCTAAGTTTGCAGACGAAAATTAGAGAAAAAGGAGGGCTACAAGGAAAGCCAACATTTTGGCCCTAACCTTATAAGGTCAATTAAGACTCAGGACATATGAGAACTTGTACTGTAACGTCATGTACCTCAGTAGTGTCCCAAATTTTCTGATCAAGAAGATTATGGGGCCAAAGAGGAAAGTGATTGAGGATGTAGAGTGTGCCTAAGGAGAGTCACATGGGGAGAAGACACTCTCTCAGGCTTTCACAGAGAGCACATTGGCCAAGCAATGGCCGTGACTCATCCACATGGCTGCACTGACAAAGGTTCCACAATCTGAGGTACAGGATCTCAGGATAAATCCTGAGGGCATTTCACTGACCTTCTCAGACCAAAAAGCTACAACTCTTGTTGCACAGGTCCTGCTTTCCCTAGGTCTTAACCATCCAGTAGAAAAGTATGAAGATGAAATATAGGAAGTAAAGCCATGTTGTTATGTTGAGCTGTGGGGGACTCAGGTCAATAATTTCTGACATTGCCAGTTAAACAGAAGACCCAATGCTATTATGGGCTACTGGACTCTTTTAGAATATTTTGCTGAGTTTACACACCTATAATATTCAAATAACATAACTTAGAAAAAAAGGGGTATACAGATGAATGTCCATTTTGTATCTGTGTATTCAAAGTGGTTAGGACAGATATATAGTTACATTCTCTTAATGAATAGAATGATTTGTTCTAATGGTGTCTGTAAATAGGATCTCAACTCTGCATCTTGTATAACGATTAACCACTAAGAAGAATATATGCAGTGTATTAGTTATTGAAACTGTACTACCGATTTGATTTGAAACTGTCTCACTGCTATCTGTTTATCAATAAAATTTTGAAAAAAAATAAGTAACAGGTTACTAAAGATTATCATGAAAATGACATATGCCTGAAAATAGAGACAACATTGTTTCACAAAAGCCAGTGCTCTGGCCCTCCCCTCACCCACGGCTGATGCTGGCAGCAGGAGCCTTGGTGAGCCCTGACTCACCTTCCCATGGTCTGGAGAGTCACGCTCACCTGCGTCACACACCCCTGCCACTGCTGCTGAGTCAGGGTGAGCATTGGGAGCTTCAGCAATCTCAAAACAAAGGAGAAAAAAGCAATCTCAGCCCACCAGCCCACCCAGAACAAGTCCAAGAGGCAAGGGCATAGAAGAACACGGAGGTCACACACCTGAAATCTATGAAATCATAGCAACTGAAGTAAGGAAACAAGTCTATCAGGCTATAGAAGAAATAAAATCAGAAGTAACCTCCTAGGTCAAATCATAAATGACAACAATCATGAAAGAATTGTTCAGCACAGCTAAAGAAGGCATACATAAAGAAATAGAGGAGAATAGAAAAATGATAGAAACATTGAACAAACAGTACAGGAAAGACTTAGAATACGAAACAGATTTAAACAGATATCCAGGAAATTAAGAATTCCATTGAAAGCTGGCAAAACTGCCTGAACAAAACTGAAGATAGAATTTCAGACCTTGAATATAACATTCTAGCTAGTGAACATGAAGGAAAAATCTCTTTAAAATAACAAGGAAAGGGCCAGGGAGATAGCTCAGAATAAGCACTTGCCTGGCAAGTGCAGGGTCCTGCATTCAATCCCTGGTACCACAAAAAAAAAAAAAAAAAAAAAAAAAAAGGAAACAGGAAACAATTCAACAGCTTCAAGATGATGCAAAGAAAAACAATGTAAGACTCATAGGTATGAACAAAACAGCAGGGGTCAGCACAAAAATGGCAGAAAAGACTGTGCAGAAGTAGTAGCAGGAAATTTCCCAAGCCTGGGAAGCAACCTGACATTCAGGTCCGTGAAGACACACCAGCACACAGAGCATGCTTGAGTAAGTGCAAAGGGACTGAAACTCTGCCCTGGGCAGACACAACTTCTGGAGCCTGTGGGATGCAATGAGTGCTGTCTTAAAAGGAAAATTTATAGTGGTAAATTGACACTTCAGGAAAACAGAAGGAGCCCAAATACATGATCTTATGATGCACCTCAAGCTCCTGGAGAAAAAAGAGCAAGTGGCAACCGTGGCCATCCTTGTCTTCTACCTGATTTTAGAGTAAAAGCTTTCAGTTTTTCTCCACTTAGAATGTCTCAGCCACTTTGCTCTTGAGTATATTTCTGAGAGAAATTGTACACATGCTCATATTTATGATAAAGGCATACTGAGAAGGATCAAAGAATTACGACAACAGTGAGAAAGAGAAACAACCAAGAAGTTCATAAACAGTGGAATGGAAAATAACAGGCGCAGTCATGAAACAGAGCGCAAGAAAGTACATCAATACAAAAGAAGTACCAATTGTGATCACGATGCTAACACTCCCTTGTGGAAGTATCTTGCATTTAAAAAGTTTAATTGAAGAATCCTATAAATTTTTGTTTAGAATCATGTATTCAGTCATTTTTAAAGCTTATATATTTTTCTAAGCACATAGCAAAACAGGTTTGATATATTCATTTTATAAGATTTTTTTCCCTTAAGATCTTAGGGAAAAAAATCTTAGCTAAATTAAGATTTATCTGACATATTACGATCTGTTAAAACCCCATTAGGTATCTTGAATTATACTGTTTCCCCACATATTTAGTGCATTTTGGTTAGAATAGTTTTATTTTGCCAGATTTGTAAATGTTCTGGCAAAATTGTGGCCTTTATCATTCTTGCTACCATCTTCTTTGCTCCCCCTTAGTTTCATACATTGAGGGTTTCTTGTTTTTCGTTTGTTTGTTTGTTTGTTTTGTGGTACCAAGGATTGTACTCAGGACCTGGCACTTGCCAAGCATGCACTTATTCTACTAAGCTATCTCCCCAGCCCCATTAAAGAGGGTCTTATGCACATACTGTATTTTGATCATCTTCCTGTCTCCACTATGCGGAGTTACACCCTTTTCTCCCCACTTCTTTTATTCCTTTTGTCTAATAATTGTCTTCCTTCTATTCTTTTTAGATTCCATATATTAGGGACAAAAGTCAAACTTTGTCTTTCTGTGTTTAGTTTATTAGCTCACTATGCTCTTCAGACATTTTTCTCTTTCTTTCTTTTCTTTTCCTGTCTTTCTTTCTTACTTTCTTTTCTCTTTTCGATTTTTGAGACAGAAGAGCCTCACTGTAATTCAAGCTGGTTTTGCTTTTGCTTTTAAGAACGCAACGTTTTTATTCATCAATAAACTAAAAGCTCATCTTTGGGTGTTTCTTTTTCACATATACTTCATTTGTTTCATGAAAAAGCACAGCCCTGTAAGTGGCCACCACCTGGTCCTCAGACTCTCGTCTGTCTTCATCCTGACTAATTTGGAAGCATTGGAGTTCGTAAGCCTCGTTGTCAGATGCAACCACGTGAAGCCAATCACAAAGATTATTCTTTGTAAGATATTTCTTGGTAAGATATTTCAAATATCTTTTAGAGAACTGTTTCTCAGAAACAGCTGTGAACTTATTCTTGAACTGTTCAATGTGACTAACATTCCCATGGTTTCCAGTTTTTCCACTGATTTTAGCCTTCTCCCTCAGAAATTGCTCCTGTTTTTAAAAAGGAAAAAAAATGCAAAACTAGGGAAGAAAACCCTAGATATTCACTAGGGAAGGCACCAAAATTTCCAGAATCAAAAATTCCGTCTTCCACTGAATGAGTAAGGTCCAAAGTGAACTTCCAGGTTGACCTCTTAGACTCCTTGTCTTTCTGCGGCACCATCTCCACAGCAGGGAGACCATCAGAGAGTCAAGCGGGTTTTGAGCTTATTGTGCAGCCAGGCTGGCCTCAAACTCATAGCAATCATTGTGCCTCAGCTTTGAAGGTACTGGAATTACAAGCATGAACCACCATGCCCTGCCCGAGATGTCATTTTTCTGCACATGACAATTTTTTTTCTTTTTTATAGACCACATTTTCTTTAAATACACATCTGTTTGTCTTTAACCTCTCAATAGACTCACACTGGCAGCTCTGCAGGAGCTTCCAGGCCTCCGATGTGCAGTGTCTACTGGACACTCTGTCTGGTGCACAGACAGCTGCTCTGCACTCTTCTGCCTCAGAATCCGCAGAGGGCTACTGTGTCTGTCTTGCTTCTGATGCTGTGAGCCCATACATATCTATCTGAGCAGTGACTTGTGTATGATTACGTGTTCATATTGATGTTAGTTCTCTTGAGAGCCATAAATAATGCAGTCAGTTGTATATACCAGAGAATGGTACAACTGGCTCGAATGGTAGTTCTGCCTTTCATGTTTTGGAACCTCCATGTTGATTTCAGTAGTGCTGTACTAATTTACGTCCCCACCATCAGTATGGAAGGGGTCCTTTTTCTTCTGTGTCCTCAATGATTTGAGGGTTTTGTGTTCTTCGTGAGAGCCCTTCTTATTGGGATACGTATGTGCAGTATATAAACATTGCATTATACTTGGGGGCTAAAGGAACAGGTAGAAAATCTTAATTCATTCTTGCTACTTTCGGAAGCAGTTAAAAGTCCTCTCACTTGTGAGTGATTTCACAAGCAGTAATGAGGCAGGAAGGTGGAATAAGGCAAAGCTGGCTGGGGAAGTAAATGGAAGCTGTCAACTACAAGGTCACAGGACAGTGCCAAATAAATCCAAAGGCTCTGTACATCGGCCTCTCGTCAGACCTCGTGAGCTGCATGACACAGAAGGCCACAGACCTACAAGGACCTTTTTTTTTTTTTTTTTTTTTGAGCAGTTTCTTCCTATTTTATAATAACTATTTTAAATTTTGTTCTTATTTACATATTCAGTTTCTCACACCAGAGAATGTGATATTTACACGTGTCTAATTTATTTCACTTCTGATTATGGACTCACCAACTATTCATTAGCCATAAATGTCTGAATTTTTTCTTTCATTATGGCCAAGTAATACTCCATAATATAAAAACATCACATTTTTTCCATTCGCTGCTTGGTCATCATTTGGGTAGCTTCCAATATTCAGCTCTTACAAATTGTGCCCGTAAGCATGAGTTCTCATACATCATTGCACAATGATGGTTTAATTCTTCCAGGAAGGTACCCAGAAGGAGGATAGCAGGTCAAATGGGACCATTGATCCCAGTTTTCTGGAGAAATCTCCACACTGATTTCCATTGTGGTTGATAATAGCCATTATTTTCAGGAGTGAGATGGAATCCTAGTGTTGTTTTAATTTGCATTTCTTGATCAACAAGTGATGTTGAATATTTTTTCATATATTTATTTGTTCTTTGTTCTTCTCCTTCTGAGAAGTATCTATGGATCTTAGATGGCTGTTTTGTACTTAGTCTTTGAATTTGGAGTATTTGGCTTTTTTCAGTTATTTATATATTCTATATATTAAGTTCATTGTCTGAAGAACAGATGGCATAATTTTTTCCCACTCTGTGGGTTGTCTTTTCACTTGTAATTTATTTTGCTGTGCAAAGTCTTTTTAATAAGATGAGATCCCATTTCTTGATTCTTAGTACATCGTGATAGTCATGGGTCTAGTTCTAATCTTCAGCATGTGGAAATCCAGTTTTTCCAGTAACTCTTTTGTTTTCTTTTGTTTTGTTTTTTTGTTTTTTAGGGTAGGCTTTACAAGGTGTTCAGGGTCTCACTACTAGATCAGACTCATGTGATCCTCCTGTTTACAGCCTCCTAAGAACTGGGATTACAGGTGCAAGCCACCACACTCAGTCTCAATTGCCTTCTCAGCGCGCCCCGGGGGCAGGGCCAGCACAGCATGTCTGGGGATTGAAACCCCAGCCCCTGTGCCTGCTTGCAGGTACTTTAATCTACTGAGCTATTTGGCCAGCCCTCCAGCAACTCTTTTATCACCCCCCATCCCCGGAAACCAGAGATTGAACTCAGGCCCTTGAGCTTGCCAGGGAAGCACTTACTCTACTGAGTCATCTCCCCAGCCCCCAGCAACTCTTTATTAAAGCAGCTACATTTTTTCTAGAGGAGGTGTTTGACGCCTTTGTTCAAGATCAGGTGGCTAAGTGTATTTGGAGTTGTTTTCCATCTTCTAATGGTTCCATTGATTGGCCTTTAGTACTCTGTTTGCTTGGATCTTTCTCTAATTCTGGTATTAGGGTAATACAGGCAATCAGGGTAACACCCATCCATGAATTAGTGTGGGAATATTTTTTTCCCTTTCTATTCAATTTAAGATTTTGAGGAATAATGTCATTAGGGCCTCTCTAATTTGCTTGTAAAACTCAGCAGTGTATCCATCAGGACCTGTGATCTTTTTTGGTAGGATTTCAATTATATTTTCAATTTTCTTGACTGCTATTGGCTTATTTAGAATTTTTATTACTTCTTGATTCATATGTAAAAGTTCATATGCATCTAAGAAGCTATTTCATATGTGTTTTTCATTTTATTGAAGATCTTCAGATTTCTGCAGGATCTGTCACAATTTCACCCATTTCACATCTAAATTCATGGCCAAGGGCTTAACAATTTTATTTAATCTTTCCAAGCTCTGATTCATTGACTGTATTGTTTTCTTAGTCTCAATTGTACTAATTTCTGCTCTTTATCATCTGTTCCCCTCATATGAGCTTTGGGCTTGACTTGTTCTATGTTCTCTAGAAGCTGGAGAGTCAACATGAGGTTGTTTATTTTAGCCTGTTCTGTCTTCCTGGTATGAGACCCATTTGTGTCCCTGGTTGTTTATCTGTCGTGACAGAATGATGGGAACATTGAGTCAAATGGCTTGCCCCAGCATCTTCTTCATGAGGATGCCTGGGCTGCGAGGGTCTGGTGGCAAGGGGCCCCCCTGCAGTGATAGTACCCAACTGTTTGGCTGTGTATGCAACTGGCCTCTGCCCCAGACCCACCATTTGAGTTAGGACCCTGAGGTCTATGTATTTTTTTCCTCATAGACAAAGAAGTTGAATTCTTGGCTTATATCCAGTAGCTCTTCTACTGGGACACAAGTAAGTAGTCTTCTGATCTCTTTGGAGGCCTCCCATTGGTCTCACCATAAAGGAGCTTTTCCTCTGGCCCCATCAGTGCCAAATACATTGGTTGACATTTTCAGAGAATCCTGGTACAACAGGATCCAGCTGCTCCCAGGAATTCCCAGAGCTTCTTCTTATTGGTAGGCCTTAGGATAGAGCAGATGATGTGCTCCCTTTCCAGTCCCAGAGAAGGATGGCCTGCCATTATGAATCCCAGATATCAGGCAGAAGGACAACATATCTGTTCCTTTTTCCAGAACATTTTCTATCCTATGTCCAGGAGCAATTATAGAAGGGCTCATGTCCTCTTCTGTCTCAGTTACTTTTCTCTCATTGCTGGGACAAAACACACAACACCCAGAGTTAAGAAAAGGTTTATTTAGCTCACAGTAGAGGTTTCAGTCCATACTCAGCTGGCTCCAAGGTAGAATGGCACATGGCAGAGCGCAGCAGCTCATGGAGGCGGAAAACAGCAGAACAGCAGAGAGAAGAGCCAAAAAGGGGGAGCAGTGGCTGCAGCAGCTAGCAAGCCTCTCTCCCTTCCTTATACTGTATTCAGGCTGCCTGCCCCGGGGCAGGTGTAACACTCACACCCATAATCCCAGCACTGGGTCATGAATTAATCACAAAGTCTGGAGGTCTGCCAAAGTGACTGCATGAGCTTTGGGGAGACAAGTAGACACAAACCATAATACCTTCCATTGGTCTTATCTCTTCTTACTCATTAGCAAGAGACCATCTATGAATTGGAACAGCACACAGTTCAGCTTGTCTCCCAGGCAAGTGGCCAGGTCAGTGGCTAAATCTTTTTAGAACAGGGTAGGGAAGTTCTTAAAGCTCTGGTAAAGCCTTGTCCCAAGTCAGCTGAGTGTTTGTTTATTTGTTTGTTTTATCTGTGTTGGAATCTACCCATTCAAAGGCAAAGAGGAGCATACTTGCAGGGCCAGAAAGTAGCAGGAATAAATAAATAAATAAAAGAAAAAGCTTTGAGTTTGAGGCAGGTGAACTAGGCTGCCCAAGGCCGCATTAGGCTCAGCAGCATGCAGGAGTTTGGGGTATGGGGTATAGGGTGATGGAGGCATTGACTGCTAGATGTCCTATACTGACAAGTAACCATCCCCACTGGTTTAAAAGTAGTGGAGGGATAGCCCAAGGTGACTGACATTCTGTTAGGTCTCCATGAGGGTTGCCTCTCCCCAGTATTGAAGAGCATGAGGAGCAGCTGCTGACATTCATCCCAGCTAGGCGCTGGGTCTGAAAGAATATTCTCCATGTGGTTGACGTGGGTTTGGGGCTCTTCTGAGTAGGTTGGTGTCAGGTGCTTCCAGTGAGGAAGGTCTGTGGTGTGGAAGGTTTGATGGTGGAGCACAGCCAGGCCAGCCTGCGCAGTTTCAACATTCTCCAGCTGTGCAAGCTGTGGAACCACAGAGGGGCACATGGAGAGCTGGCAGGTGTGCTGAACATAGCCATTGTGCAAGGGGCTCGTCCACAGGGTCTGGGGCTTCAGTGGCAGCAGGATCAGGCAGGTCTGCACGAGGTGGAAGGTGCAGTGGGGAAGAGCTGTCTGGGAGGGCTGGTGATGTAGGTGTGGATGGCGGTATAGGAAAATACGGCAGGGGAAGGAATTCTTCGTTGAAAGTGCCCTGATGAACTGTCTTCCTGTGGCCCTTCAAGGACTGACCTGGGCCCTGAGCTGTCTGTTCATTCTCCTTCATGCAGCATCAAGCCCAGCTTGGGAGGGTTTCAGACATCTGTA